CCCGCCTTGTTCGTTGACACATTTCATTTCGGTGGAGTGGGCGGTGTTCTTTACGTGCTCCCGAAATGTTTAGGTGCTTAGTTTTACAGATCATCTTTGCGATTCAATGGATGATTTGCTTGTTTCGAAGCTGTAAACACAAAGCTCTGGATTGTCGAGCCAAGACTGACTCTGCTAGTCCAGTATAATTGCTTCGAAGGCTCAAGAACTCAAGGATTCTGTGCATGCCAAGACTCTGCGGTCGATGCTCCAGCACCAAGGAGCACAATAATCTTCTTGCACCTGCTTTCGATCAGCTTCGCGATCCTAAGCAGCCGAAGCACTTCGGCTGTGGTGCTGGTCGCGTTCGTCTTAAAGCTTAGAGGATAACCGCGGAAAAAAAAAAAAAAAAAAAAACAATGCAGCTGCGACACAAGACACCAGCTACTGTAGATCCGTGCTTCTTATATGCAAGATATCGTGACAAAATTGCGAGAACATTGGCTGTTCAACTTCTGAGGACAAATTCTCTCAGCTGTGGCAGGGCAGCACACACACACACACCAAGCACTTGCCGCGTGCCCCATCTCACTATGTACCATAAAACCCGTTATAACTCTAGACTCTAGGCCGTATGCCGAAGATGTCTTTCCGTTTACAACAAGCACATGTACAGGTGCGGACTGGCAATACAAACACTTACTAATCATACTAGTACTACTGGTACTGCAGATATTTGTGCCCGCAGGCGTACACTTGTGTTGCTACTTGAACTAGATCTATTACTACTATAGCTAATGCTACTACGGGTACTACTGTGGCTGCTGCCAGCACTACTATCAACAAGAATATTGGTACGATTGTGAATTCACTACCACTAGCATCGCTAGTACTGCCTCTGCTGCTAGTTCTCCTGGTATCACTTGCTCGCGTACCACGAATGCTACTGGCACTGTTGCTACTTCTGCTGTTGATTTAACCACCACCACCCGAGCCTCTTCTGCTATTCTGGGAGCACTGCAGATACCAATCGTGTACCAATGATGGCACAGGATGCCAAGCATCCCTGGCAGCGAGAAGTTCCCATTCAACACAGCAGCGCGCGCCTGGAAACGAGGCTGACGGCCGGGCAAGCGTTTTGACTCGGAAGAGCTCTCGGGCTCGTGGAGTTCAGGGTCTGGTGGTCTTTGCAGACACGGAAAAGCAATAACAAAAACTTGTGCAGCTCTAGTGTGCCGACATCCCGAAAGCTCCTCCACTTCAGGGCTTAGCTTGCACAGGCGTACGCAACCCTGCTTACCACGGCCCTGAACCCTGCAGGGCTCTCTGCAAAACCCCAGCCGAAGCGTATCGACCTTGAGCGCTGGCAGCTTCTTTTCGTCGCGCAGGCTAGTGCTGAGGCCGCCCTAAACTAAAGGGAGCCTGGCAAACGCAATCGCACCCCTCGATTGCGTCGCGGGCACTCGGAATAACAAAACTGCCACATGCGTTTTTGCATAGAAGCTCGCATCAAACCCATTTGTCCGGGTAAAGGCACCCAGCACTGCTGAATCCTCAGACTCGGAGGAGCAACATGTCAAGTTTCTAACACTTGAAGCAAAACTCCCGTCCGAGCGATCTAAATTGCTGTGCTGTGCCGTTTCTTTCAATCCTCAGCAGCACTTGGGTGTTTACAACCAAGGTGAGAAATCTACGCCAAAGCAGGCAGATCAGGCCCCAAGCAAAGCTCGCTTCGCAGGGTGGAGCAGGCCACCCGACTCCTGCGGAGTCGCGATTTCCATGCTTCTGCTCCGTCTTTCTGCTTCGATCTGTGATGGTCCACGGTTTCGGCGGCTAACTGTAGCTGAGATTGCCGGGTTTCAGGTCGGACTCTAATAAGTCCCAAGGCCCTAAATCCTAAGCCCCCAAACCTACTGCCCTAGTATCCTGACTTGAAGGTTCACTGGTAGTTATACGTGTTTTCTAAATCCCCGTAATGAGGGTTCTAATTTTGGTTGTCCTACTTGTAATCCACTTATAGCTACCCATGAGCCGCCAAGTCAAGTATACCCCTGCCCTAGTATCCTTATACCCTAAACCCCTAAACTCCTAAACCTTAAAACCTGGTTGCGCAGACTTGTCTCTTGCACTAAACACTTGGACCCTATACTACAGGGCCTTATTTGAATAGGGTTCTGGGGTC